CTGACCAATCTCAGCCCATCGCGTATTTCTGAGGGAGGGGCTTCATAAAAACAGGAAATAATCGAGGCGTTTGTTAGAGAAGGGACAGATCGGTGTGGAATAAAGGTAAATTATGTGAAAAATTATGCGTTTTTTAAAAAACGAAGCATGAACACATGTTAGACTGCACCCCATAAACACAATCAAGCCTAGAAAAAACCCAGCCAACCACCCCTTTAAAGGATTTGCCACTGATGATTCAAAAGCGAGTTCTGAGCAGTGTAGAGTAGCGCTTGTTGTTTGTCGTTTCTCCGATCACAAACCCCTTTAATATATTTAAAATACATTATACTTTAAAAATCTTACTGATCCCAAACTTTTGAATGGTATATAGATTATTAGGGCTGTCACGATTCCTTGATTTAAATTCAAGTACTCGATTATAAAAAAAAAAAAATAATAAATCCTCGATTGCATTTTGCCCGTGTCGATTAACCGGCAAATACCGGAAGAGGCGCATTTATTTATTTGAAGTGGCGGTTATTAGACCGTTTTCTAAGGCGGCACAAAATATTAAAACCATTTAAAAATCATAATAAAGTATAATGCTTTTGTGAATTCACGAAGGTTGCTATTCAATGAAAGTGAATATATGCGCTGTGGGTTTAATATGCGCTTTATTTATATGCGTGTGGGTTACGGCTCCGTTCACAGTAAATGCTGCTCCGCACAAGCAACCATCTCTGCATATGCTGTGATGCTTATAACGTTCATCTGGGAACAGTGTGCACCATTCTATCAGATTTATAAGTTAAATCATTTATAAACCTTCGCCAACACAGGAGAATACATCATCATCTCTCTAAATATGCTAACTGTTCATGGCAACTCCAGAGTAAAAGTTTAAATCATATATGTATTTGAAGTCATTTTAAAGTCTGTTGTTCACTTAGGTTACAAAATAATTATCCGATTACTCCAGTAATCTTCAGTATAATCGACCGATTACTTTCACTGCAATTAATTCATACAGATACATAACTGCTTTAAATGTAGTTTTAATAATATTTTTTTCCATGTATGACTGACCTATAAACATGTAGTCATAAAGTTACACACATAAGCATGCATTTCATTAAACTTTTCAGTTTAACTGTAAGTGAATGAACACTTAATTTCCCAGAATGCTCTAATTTACACAAAAGTCTTCGAAGTGGAGCCAAACAACACGAAGCAGGTTTACAAGATGGAGTCATCATTACAGCTGAAGCGTGTAATTTCAGCTTTGAAACAGAAATAACTAAAAGACATCTGGCCGAGAGCAGAGCCGACAGGAGCCCAGCCTGGACACAGGACTCAGATGATAAACCATGTCAGCTTTTATTGAAATATCTCTTTCACATACAGTACCTGACAAAAATTATAGAGTCAGTTCACCCCATAAATGCCATCATTTAATGTTGCGGGTCAGTTTGACACTTTGATATGTTGTGAAATGTTAATTATGATTATGAATTATGATTTTTATGATTATAATATTTCATGGTTAAACGCAGTTGCTCAAACCCAAAATAAAATAATGTCTTTTGTTATGTCAGTTTCTCAAGTACCCTCTGAGGGTATTGACATTTACGTTTATGCATTTGGCAAATGCTTTTTCCAGAGAAACTGCATTAAAGGCGTACATTATTTATCAGTTCATGCTTGTTCACAAAACATGCATGAATCTATGATTTTTCGGAGTTGGTTACTGCTTGAGTTTCAGAAAAAGTGCTTTTCCACACTTCTTTTCTTTAAAAAAAAAATAAAATAAATAAAAAAAATCTCAGTGCTGTATATTGCAATACTACGGAGCCCGGGAAGTCACCTGTAGGAGAAAAAAAAACAATCCGTGGCGACGGTTTTGCAATCCGTTCCCTCAGTTTATAAACCGTACTCACGAATTCTTAAACTGTTCCCTCGGTTTAACAAATCGTGCCCACGGATTAATAAACCGTACCCACGAATTTCCAATCCGTGCGCTCAGATTTTGTAAACCGTACCTGATTGTTTTTTTTTCTCCTACAGGTGACTTCCCGGGCTCCGTACTATACAGTATTCATATTTTGTGAAAAAAAAGTTTAAAAAGTGAAAGGGGTGTGACATGTGGCCATTAGGCCACGACTGCCCCAAAGTAGTTTTTATATGCAGGTTTTAAAATCATATTCACAATTTTTTTTTTTTTTACGTGAGAATTAATGTTAAATTAATGTTTACTGTTATTTGTGTGTGTGTGTGTGTGTGTTTTCCATAGTGTGATTTTTTGGAATTTGTATTAAATCCAGTTAGGGTCAATTAGTCCCTCACCATAAAAATCGTAGCCAGAATTTGAGTCTAATGTAGGGGTTAATCACCCTCATGATGTTCTAAACCCGTTTCACTGACTTTCTTCTGTGGAATATAAGACTCAAGCTGCCCTTTTCAATACAATGAAAAAAATCACTACAAAAACATTCTTGTAATATATAATATTGTCTGAGTCATTTGATAGTTTTGCGTTAGGAACAGACCAAAACGCAAGCTGTTATTCCTTGATAGTCTTCCCTGATAATTTGCAGCTTCTCAATGTCATTATTGCAACACTTTTAGAAACGCACACGCAAATGAGATTTCAGAGATGTGAAATTTGAGAGTCGGTCAATATACTGTACATACAGTAATCTGGCTCGTATGTATATCGATCAGCAATTATAAAACAATGCAATAACAGTCTTGCTCAGGAACACAATGGTGATGGGGAACATTTAAATTACGGCTTTTTCATCTGTAGAAAACATGATTGATTTGAGGTCAAATTGAGGTTAAATGCAGAAAAGAGGTCAGTGTCACTTCTCACACACTTCATGAGACCGCTGATCCTCCTCACGGACATGTTTTTTGTGGTATTACAGAAACGTTGATCTTTTGTGCACCTTTGATGCTGTTCATTTTATGCCTACTTTATTAATGTGAGTGCTAAAGGCTTTGCTCTGATGGGACGGGTGCTGTTGACCGTGTGGTTCTCAGGAGCTGGTGGTTCGCTTTCTGAAGAGAGCCAGCAGTAACCTGCGTCAGGACATGTGTCTGGAGGAGCCCAGCCGTCAGCTGTGTCTGTCAGACCGCCAGCGCATCCTCTCCCATCAGCTCGGGAACTTCATACAGCTCTATAACCAGGTTTGTGGATCAGCAGGCCGATAATGAATAAAATCAAGTAACAGGTGAAAACTAGAAGTGTGTTGGCTTGATCAAAGCTGAAATAGTTTGAAGGTTGGTTTGAAGCTTTTATAGGACCTGTGCAGTTTGCTCTGGCGTTTTGGCAGAGGTTTGATGGTTATATAAGCCTTGAACAGTTTAAAAACCGTTAGAAATGCCTTGCTGTCTGGTTGCTATGGTGTTTTGGGTGGTTGCTAGGGTGTTCTAAATGATGGCAATGGTAAGTTTGTCATTTCTAATTCATTGTTTGCTAAATTTTACAGTGGATTCTTTCACAATGCAGATACAGTTCAGCACATGCTCTGTAAAGAGTCATTTATTTAATAATGATGCAGTGCCAACAACTCTTATCAGACCCGAGAGTAATGTTGCAACACACAAGCATGAGTTAACATGTCAATCCTAATGCCTCGCCTGTTACAGGTTCATATCTATTTATTTCATTTTTCACCAAAACGATCAAGCCGTATATTGGGGTATTGTTGTTAGGTTTTCTACTGAGGTGATTTTATCCTGCTGATTTCAGTTCAACCTGTGTAGCGGCTTTAATGCAGTGTTTTGTCACATCCCGCTTACAGTAATAATTGCCCGGTAATCTCTTGGGTTTTAATAGAAACTCGTTGTAATTAATACAGGGTTTGGGCAAAATAATATGAACACCCAGTATAGTGGGGGTTAATATCGTATGCAATAAGGAAAACAAGCACTTTTTTCATAGTCTATGTACTCTAGATTTTATATAAGTGTAGTATAAAGTTATTAAGTTAATAATCAGTGACTTCCAGGACAAATCATGGACGTTCATTTAACAGGAGCGTCTGTAAACGTAACTGTTTCTCTCCTTTAACATCTCTGAAGCAACTGGCAGATGATCTGAATGGTGATAAAACACCATAATAAAGAAGTATTGCCAGGTGCGCACATTATTTTGTCCAACCCCTGTATGGATTTGATTCTATACTGTAACACATTGCACGGTTTACTTTGACAATTATAACTGTGCAAGCAGTTAAAATTAAAACGTCAAGACAACATGACCCTAAAACTGAGGGTTGAAATCATCATGATGGATTTTGTAACATTATAAGTGGACCTCAGGCGTCATTATAAAGTAAAACAAATGCAATGCATGACCTCTTTAAGTCAACTTTGTTTAATAATCCTCAGGAAACCAAGCAAATGGTGGAGAGTTTGGACAGGATTCCAGATGAAGGGCGCTGCATCAACTCCAGTGTTTTCCAGGAGTTTATTCTGGAGGCGAGGTCGGTGTGATTCACTTTACCAGGACACATAGAGAGGATGACTGGCTCGCTCTGGGTTCTGCTGGGGCTTTTTCAGTGGCCGTTTTTGCTTGTTCTTCCAGTGAAAGTGACTTGGAGGAAGTCCTTACGTTCTACATGCAGAAGAATAAGTCTGCCAGCGTGTTTCTGGGCACGAAGTGTGGCAGAGTCGAGAGGAACAGCGCTGAGAACAGAGAGAGTGAGTGACATTTCCTCATGTTTTATAAGGCAGCGCATGAAATATGACACAATACACGTCATAAAAGTGTGTTTCAATAACAATAGCAGCTCCAAAAAGAATAGTTCACCCAAAAATGAAACTTCTGTAGTCATTTACTCTCCTCCATGTCTTTGGCTCATCCTCAAAACACAAATTAAGATATTTTTATGACTTTTTGGATCTGTTAAGTTTTGGTTACATGGACTTTGAATGGAGAGACAGAAGTCTCTCAGGTTTCATTATAAATATCTTAATTTGTGTTTTGAAGATTAACCAAAGTCGTATGGGTTTGGAATGATATGAGTAAATTTGGGTAAACTATTTCTATAATTTCAGTATTTTAGAGGTTTTTGTGTATTATATGTACAGATTTTTGCTAATTTAAAGGATTAGTTTAGGGTTAGATGATGTGAGTGTGAGGTGACAGACTGACAATATTATTCATTAATTATCTTCCCCTCCATCGCAGCTCTGAAATCAAATTATCCATCACACATATTCAAATTTGTGTGATCTTCAGGTACAAGGAGCAATTTGAACATGAACATGACTGCAGTTTTAGAGTTTTTAGAGTATCCTACAAATAAACTCGTTTCATTGATTCTCCCTGATGCTCTTTCAAACCTGTCTGTCTTACTTGCTTCAGTGTAACGTAAAAGAAGATATTTTGAAAAATGAAAAATGTTTTTTGTCCATACATTTAAAGTCAGTGGGCTCCGATGCTGTTCTTTCAAATATCTTCTTTTATGTTCTGCAGAAGAAACAAATGCATACGAACTACTGTTATGTGGTTCTTTTATGGTGTTTTTTGGTCCTTTTTGTGCCTTGGCAGCCCCTGATCACTGGACGTTTCCTTAAATGGATAAAAAGCAATGTGAACCCTAAAGGAAAGACCTCTCTCAGTTTAAAAGAGTCTGTAACTTTTACATCCGCTTTTGGTGAGATGCATTAGTGCTATATAAATTTGCAGGTCAGATTTCTTCAAACTTGATTGTTGATACACAGCAGATGAAACATCTTTGCTTAAACTTGCATCTCCAATTTCCACATTTGAAGTTGTAAATAAAACAGATTACTCAAGGATGTGTTATGAGAAAATACTATTTCAGTTTCCAAAATTTCATGTTTAATTCAATGAGTTACTCATTGTTTCTTTGTAATTATTTGTGAAATTTACTATAAATTTCTGAGTTGAATTAATTAACTTTTTTTTATTTAATTTAAATTATTCAGAGCATGAGAACAGAGCCCAAATTTTATTGTGAGCTTAATACCAACATAACATAGTTGTCAATAGTAATTCTGTACGTTTTGGTTAATGTTGTTGATAGAGTTGAGCACGCTATGGCAATGTGGAAGATTCTCCAGGTGTGTGAGAGATGTTTGTCTTTTAGGATGTAATATTTGACTGATAATAACAAGCTCGTGTACTTTCTCTTTCATGACGCAGCTGCAGGTATCAGCATAGATGCCTCTGACGGTTTAGACGACGCAGATGCAATCAGCAAGACCCAAAACACAGACAGTTCTGCTGCTCAAACGGGAGACCAGGGCCAAAATAATGTAACCCAAAGCACAGAAAGCTGTAATGCATCTAAACATGGTAACAAAACCAAATGCAACTCGCTGCAAAATGGACACATCCGGAGCAAAAGCCAAAATGGGGACTGCACCGTTATCGAAGCGCCACCCAATCCTTCGACTGCTGCGGAGACTGAATCAAGAGCAAGCAAGACTCGCACTTCTGCTGTCAGAACCAGGAGAACTCTGTGGAAATCAGGCAGCGATCAGCCGAACGCTGCAGCTCTGGAGTGTGAACACATCGTCTTACAGCGCTGCCTCCCGCCGCCGCATCCACTGGCCAACAGCTCGTCTGTGTGTGTCACATGGGCCTCCGCACGCAACGCATCTACTGAAGAAACGTCTCGACAGATCCATCCTACCTGTACAAACACATTCATCCCTAGAGCCGCGCACGCCTCCATCCAGAGATCCTCACGGCCGTCCTCTACAGGACACGGTAACCTGAGTCTAAACACTCAACAAATCAGTGTTCAGTCCTCCACCTAAAATGAAATGTGACCCTGGACTACAAAACCAGTCATAAAGGTCAATTTTTCTAAATTGAGATTTATACATCATCTGAAAGCTGAATAAATAAGCTTTCCATTGATGTATGGTTTGTTAGGATCGGACAATGTTTGGCTGAGATACAACTATTTGAAAATCTGGAATCTGAGGGTGCAAAAATATCTAAATATTGAGAAAAATTCTAGAACACTTAAGTGCTTGATTTATTTGGCTAACTGGAATTTAGAAAGTTTGTGGTTAAACTTTTCCCAAAGATGTCTCTGTTTATAAGCCATGAAAATCCAAGCAAGGTGAAACAACATTACAATTTGAAGCAAAAAGTATTTGAAAATCAGACAAAAAGAGAAAGGTGCAAAACTGTGTTCTTAACGGCTTTAGTCCTATGGAGCACTGACTAGAGAAATATAAAACTATTCATTTAAAGATATTATGTACACTACCGGTCAAAAGTTTGGGATCAGAACGATTTTTTTTCTTATGTTCATCAAGGCTGCATTTATTTGATCAAAAATACAGGAGTGTTCAATTGTTAAGAAGTGACAGCATTGTTAGAAAATATTTAAATTTTGAATAAATGCTGTTCTTTTTAACTTTTTATTCAGTCTTACTGATCCCAAACTTTTGACCGGAGTGTATATAGAACATACTGTATATTGTTTACGTTTAATGCATAATACACAAAAGTACTTTGAGAGTGTAGAGAGACTGTGTTAGATCACGTCATCGGGCTTCAGAGGGGCTGCTGCACTATATTATTGTCATAGGCTTGCCATAACTGTTTACTGTAGTGGCAGATATTAGGTTGACGGAAGAACTCTCAGTAGTGGCACACAGTTAAAGGTCAGCAGTCTGATACGAATACATGTTTTCAGTAGCGTTCTCATGCATTTCTCATAGAAATCCCAGACATGAGCAGAACTCTGCTCCTTTGCCTTTTGACTCTGGGTCGAGCGGAGCATATGGCATGAAGCTGGAGTGTGTCTGATGCGTTAGGGAGGATCCGGAGTCTGTCAGGAGCGGGATACACGCTCTCTGTGTGGTCTCATTATCAGATGCTCCACAGGGGAGGCGCTCTCTGTTGAGATATAACAAGCAGCCCGTTTTCCCTCCAAGTAATTGATTCTTATAAATAAAAGAATGTTACAAATTGGCTCCAAGTGCAGGGGTGAGATCAGTCCATGCCCCCCTTTATTTGCTGAATACCTGAAGCGTTTGAGATGAGACCGGACCACACAGATTCCCTGACGCTCATGTTACTGAACGCTGTAACTCTAGAAGGTGTTTACTTCAGTTTACTGTGAGTTCACTCGTGTCACGACTTTCCCTCTCAGTCTACAGCTTAATCGCTTGAACAAATACACCGGCGGACTGAAATTGTGTTTTCTGGCAAAATCCAATGTCTGGAACTACATGATGCTTCATAAAAATAGATTACAGTATGAATTCAGTGTGTGGATGGTAACAGCTAGGGCTGTGCAAAAAATCAAATGCGATTTTCGTCAGTAAAGCCGCTCCTGTGATTAGTAGTAAATCTCCAGCACATGCGTTCAGATGGAGCGGCATTTACTACAAATAGCCGTAGTTCACTGACAAGCTACACAAAACATTGCCGATTTTGAACGCGATTTTGTGTTTACTACTAATCACAGGAGCGGCTTTACTGACAAGATGCATTTGAAAATCGCATTCGATTTTTTGCACAGCCCTAGTAACAGCCTCCGTTCTGTATAAAAGACAGTCCCATTCACTGACTATGGTTATATTGTTTTGCATTATCATTTTAAAGGCAGGGGAACATTCTGTTAAAGGGGTCATATGATGTTGCTAAAAAGAACATTATGTTGTGTATTTGGTGTAATGAAATGTGTTTATGCTGTTTAAGGTTCAAAAAACACATTATTTTCCACATACTGTACATTATTGCCCCTTTAATTGGCAATAACAATTCCTGATTTAGATGTAGTTTTGTGGGAATACTTTAATGAACCGCCAGAAGTGGTTGGCATTTTCAACTTTCATTCTTTGCGTCGGGAATCTGGCTTTACTGGCAGCCATATTAAACACCTCATTCAAGTAATTACTGCTTAAATGAGTGAAAATGTAGCAGTTGTAGCCTTCTGACTGTTTTGTATCTTTTTTTTTTTTTTTTAAGAAGCAGGTTGAAAACGGCATTACTCTCGCTTTATAATGAATACTTTTAATTTGAGGATACGAAAAAAGGCAAGAAAATTGACAGTAGCAATTATTATAGATGGAAATGCATTAAATTATAGAATATATAGTCTCAGGTGGTTTAGTCTCTCGTGAACTCTGTTAGTCGCCCACATATGGGCTTTCATAAAGAACTTTTCAACCTCAGCACGGATCATTAGCACAAACCCTCATCATAACCCAACATAACATTTTTGTTCACCTCGCACCATTTAGCTCCAAATTTAGATTCAGTTCAACACTGCAATATTAACATTGGTTCAAGCTCTTTCAGCCCTTTCTGCTGCTGTTCTTTCTGTCCAGGAGAGTGAGGCAATCAAATAATTCATTCACCATCCGTACTAATCATTATTAATGGAATAATGTCACTGGAACATTAGAAATTAGATTTCATTGTAGCCAAATTTAGAGCACTTGAGGTGAGGAGACATGAACGCCAAAATATGCCTTGAAAATAGGGCTGCACGATTTGGACAATTATATATACACAGTATACATAGGTCAGAATTTTATGATTATATATCAGTATGATTATAATGATATTTTTATAGTTTTTTACGGATTATTTTGTTAATAAGGGCTTCTCATTAAAAGTTTGTGAAGATGGTTGGTGCATGTTTTGTTTCCATATGCATGTTAAAGAGTAGATACGGAGATGGCGTTCATGTGGCTCATTTTCTGTGAATTGAGTTGCTTTGAAACGCTGAAAATACTGGATCATGAGCTGCTCACGTGTAAATGAATACAATGTTGCACTTCATTTTGTGCATATATTTGTTTAATTAAATCACAGCCTTTGTTTTCAGTTTCAGTTTTATTTCAATTAATTGAGCAGCTCTGTTTGAAATGCTTAAAAAACATGTGACATATATGTTCTGTTTCAACAAAGTGTGAATATTAGTAATAGAAAAATTCATTTTATTTTACAGTGATTTGACTATCAGAAAAATAAACAAACAACAACAAAATAAACAAAACAAGCGTAATACACACACACACACACAGCATGACTACAGAGCCTGAGTCAGAGTCCAGAGAGACAGGAGTAACAGGGTTCCCGCGGGTCCTTAAAAAGTCTTTAAAAGTATTAAATTTGATTTTGCAAATTTAAGGTCATAAAAAGTCTTAATGTCTTATTTTTACTTATGCGAGGTCTTAAATTGTAGATGGCATTTTGTCTTAGACATACAAAAGTTTACAAAATTAAAACTAATTGGCGTTATACGATTTATTATTCTTTGTGTATTTGCTTGCTCATGTGATCGTGCACGGCATTTACGGCAGCGTGTACGTACTTGTCCTGCGTGGTGCGTGCGAAAGGAACAGGAGAACAAAATGGGTAAATGCAAGTTCAATGTGATTTGGCTCGAGGATGTTAAATATAGAGATTGGTTAGCTGGTACAAGCAACGAGCATGAGGCGACTTGCAAGATGTGCCAAAAAACCTTTAAACTCGGGACAATGGGAGTTAAAGCGGTGGAGTCCCATATGAAATCGGAAAAGCACCGACGTTACGCCAGTATTCGAAGAAGTACGGTGCCAATGGAGTCTTACGTGTCTGCGCCTAGTACATCAACTCCTGGTGGATCACCGACTGGTAATGTTGGTCTGAATCACAATGTTCAGCCAAGTGTTTCGTCGAGTTTTTCACAGGCTTGTACCCTGAGGGCTGAATTGTTGTGGATTCTGCATACGATAAGTCGACACCAATCATGTATGTCAAACGATGACATCCACACACTTTTCAAGGCAATGTTTCCCGATTCGGAGCATGTAAAAACATTCACATGTGGCAGAGATAAAACTGCGTACATAGCCAGGTTTGGTATCGCGCCGTTTATTAAAAGACAGCTGACAACAAAAATTAATGACGAATCGTTCGTCGTTATGTTCGACGAAAGCATGAACAGGACAACAAACAACTAGACCTTCAACCTTCATACTGGACAACGGATGAAACGGGAACGTACGTTTGCTCCCGCTACTATGGTTCTCAGTTCCTGGGCCATTCCACAGCTGAGGATTTATTGGACAAATTCAAGGCAAGTCAAAAATACATTATTAGTGCACAAAAATACATAAATAGTGAATGCTTGTCTCAAAATAAAAATCAATGAGTGTATTTGATTTTTATGGGGCTGCAAGTGCTAGAATAGTTTACAACCTACACCATGAAATATGAACAGTAATTATTGTGCTGTAGCAGGTCAACACCTTACACTAAATCAAAAATTCAGTCTAGTCATCCTGTAATAATCCCTGATCTCATGAATGTTAGGCTATATTGTAACGTTACAGCTTTGTTTAAACTGTTTTAGAAAGTTGAGGATTGTTTATCAATGTGCTTTGATTAAAATCAAACTACAGCATCTTAAGTGATCATAAAAATACACCAGCAATTGTCATCTAAATAAGTTTTTGCTATAAAGTACACAATGATTTTGAGAACTGAATTTGTCTCATCCAGTTTTGTAAGACAGAGTTGTGCATTAATTACGGTGCTTACAATCTTTCATCTGGTTGCAAGTCACATTATGATCATCATCTTTTTAGAGTCACAAACTGTTAATGGCTGTTTGTTTTGCTGTACAAAAATTGTATTATTTTTTCTCTGTTTGGGTCTTAAAAAAGTCTTAAAAAGTCTTAAATATGATTGTACAAAGTTTGCAGCAACCCTGAGTACGAGTGGAAAAATATAATGTTGAAACACCTGCACCC